TCTACCATTGAGCCAACTTCCCAGCCCGAAAAGTATATCTTTTCATAGATTAATCCACACCATCCAGTTTTGCTTAAAAGACCAGGAGAAATACTATTATTCATCTTCTTTTTAAACTCATCAAATCACTTCTAGGAAAGAAAGCATAAAAATTAATTTCAGGATAGAAAATGTAATTGAACAACTAATTGAAAACCAATCTTTCTCAAGTGCCAAATGAATTAGAAATGGTTAGCTTCAGAGAATGCAACAAAATAACCTGTTTTTACAGTAAACCTGTAAACTATCCTCTCTAGACACAATTTTAACAAAACCACACTTCCTTGATTTTTAGGTAGGGCCTTTTGACTCCACAAACCTTCAACTTCTGCAAGTCTCTTCTATTACCATCCCTTCAATAAGCTAATTACTTTTTTAAAAAGAGCCTCCACTACAAACTAGCAGGGAATAACCCACACTAACCAAGAAACAAATGAGTAAAAAATTCTCAACACCTAAATCATCACTGGTTAGTTAGTAGTTTGCTGAGAAATGTGGTCTGCACGAATAGGAGACTAAAAATGCTGGTAGATCAAGAAGTACTTTAAACTGTAGGATTTAAGGAGACATGTAAGTCACAGTAAAGGAAAGTTGTCACTGTACAATAGTGATATTTGCTCATTATTATATCATCAGACTTTTAGAAAATTTAGCCATGACATATCAGACCTTAATGTTTTTACTATATTCAGTGGTGTTTTGTCTATCATTTTTACTCAGCACTTGACTAATGACTATGAAAAAGTACTTATATACAGTTCCTTTACTCAGAAATTTGTCTTTAATGCAAAATCTTGAAAAGGGAATGTTGGTATCGGCCTTTATTGCCTGAAGAATTTTTACATTTTATTATTTTTTTTTACTTTAGAGATGATTATTGATTATGCTGTTTAAGTATTTTGAGTTTGAATTTTATTTCTAACTTATCCAGTGGAGATCTCATATTAATTCAATTATTGTCAAGTATTCACACTATTTGAATGACATATGCTAATGATACATGTCACATGCTGACACAATAAGCATAAGTTTCATAATCATTTAAATATAAATTTGTACTTGGAAGTGTCACATTAATTAAGATTATTCTGCACTATCTTGCATAAAATTACAACATTGAAAAATAATATTTGTTCCCTTTCTGACCTTAGAAAAGGTAGTTTCTGTTATTGATGTCCAGAAATCTTACAATGGTTTAGAGATGGCATGAAAAGTTTTGTTACTTATGCTATAGAAAGAGATAAGAGATTGGTCTAACTAGGCACTTACCCATCCTAAATCTGTTCCTATTATTCAACCTATGTTGCTCAGTCAAAACAGAGTTGGCTCATTGATTTTAGGGCCACTGATCATTTTTTGTACATAAAGTCATGTAAGTGTGTATATATGTTTGTGTCTCTCCTTCTTTCTATATATATAGAAATACACATATGCCACTTCATCAATATAAACATATTACACATTCATAATTTTGAGAGTCTTATAATTCTTTAATAAACATAAATTAATTCTGTCAGTATCTGACAAGGTTTAATTTTTTTTGTGAAACACTTATCTATCCAAATTTGAATTCAGGAGTTCATAGGTATTTTTTGTGTTTAAAGAATGCTGAGAGTTGGGCTGGGAAGGTGGCTCAGTGGTAGAGTGCTTGCCTTGCATGCATGAGGCCCTGGGTTCGATTCCTCAGCACCACATAAGCAGAAAAAGCCAGAAGTGATGCTGTGGCTCAAGTGATAGAGCACTAGCCTTGAGCTGTAGAGCTGAGGGACAGCGCCCAGGCCCAGTTCAGGCCCCATGACTGGCAAAAAAAAAAAAAAATGCTGAGAGTTCTACTGAGATGGTATACAGATCAGTAAGCTGATTACACTTGTCATGTTAATTTTGTGCTTCTAGCCTTTACATCTTGAGAGATTTTGCATACCTCTTCCCTTTGTGTACAATTATTCAGAGCATTTCTTATTTATTTATTTATTTTTATTGTGAAAATACTGTACAGAGGGGTTACAATTACATAGGCAAGATAATGAGTACATTTCTTATCAAGCAGTGTAGCCTCCTCCTTTATTTCCCCTTCCCATCCCTTCCCATCCTCCCCCGCCCCCCCCCACAGAGCATTTCTTATTGCAAAATATTATCATATGAACTCAGTTGTTTGAGGAAACACATAATGGAACATGTTCGTGTTACATAATGGAACATGATTTGTGTTACATAATTTATGATATTAAATATCCTAAAGTGCTTATGAACATTTGTAGAGTATTTTCTTTCACATAAAATCAACTTTAATATAATTTTGAAGGTAACGGTATACCATATGCAAGGCCTCAGTTTTATCCTCAGCATCATCAAAAAAAAGAAAATAAAAAAATGAAAAATTTAACAACATAAAAAAATGTGATTTTGCCCGCAAGTTATTTTAGTTAATAAACTGGTGATCTATATACAGAATAAACTTCTATGATACTTACTTTTTCTATCTAATTAACGAATTGAAACTTAAAAATTAATTATTTGCCACTTAATATTTCTATCTATATTTAAAGGAAAATATAGATACAAAAACTATGACATTGATTTTTTTTCCCTGATTCTGGGGCTTGAGTTTAGGACCTGGGTGCTTTCTGTCTCCTGAGTAGTAGCTAGGATTATGGACTTGAGCCACTGGTACCTGGCTCAGTTAATTTTTAAGAGGTTACAATATTTGAGTAATAATGGGATTCTACCATAGCTGAGAATGTGAATGATAAAATGTTTCACAAAATGATAGATCAACCAAGCTATGGCAAATATGATTTGTTTTTCTGTTACAAATTATTGGAGTAGAGTTTTATTTTACCATATTTGAGACTTTTAAATTAGTGTAATATTTGGACACTTAAAATAAGTATTGAAAACTAGTTTCAATTCTCCTTTTCACATTAGAAAAAGGAAAAGATTTTCTGTCTATACTTGAATGTTAAGAAGATTAAAGGTAAAAGATATTGATATTTATTAGTCAGTGAGCATTTCTTTCTGTCATTTATTTGAAGACCTCCCAGAACAAAAGGTATTTATGTGCTGGCTGGCAGGATTTTATCTTATACAAACAGCCTAGCAGTTTTGTTGTTATCACTGTATTCTACAAATTATTTTGAGTTCCTGAATATTAGAAGGCCCAATGTTATGTGTTTGTGGCAGAAGAGGATGATTATGTGATATACTTTTGTACTTATAGTATGATAGAAGTGAAATGTGAAGATTGAAAAACAAAGAAGAGAGAAAACATTAAATTAGTAGTTTGAGTGACTAGAAGAGTAGTTCTATTAAGTGAAGTGAGAAACAAGGAGATGAAGTTTATTCTAGAAAAATTGTCTTCCAAAAGTCTAAAAAACACCAAGGAAATATTATGAAGCTAGATTTTCATTTTTCATTATCATATTCCTTGAAAACATTTATGTCAGACAAAATTATCTTTAACATTATACCATGTTCTCAAGTCATTCAACTGTCTTTCTGTCTCTCTGTCATACACACACACACACACACACACACACACACACACACACACACACACACACACACACATATCCTTGCATTGAGAGCACAATGAAAATATCATTTCAATATTAACTCTTAGAATGGGTTTATAATCTCAGAAAAAAAAATAGATGTGTAGTGTGGGAAGAGTGTGTAATAAAAATCCCCAATACTAAATAAACCTTTTAAAAATACAAAACAGGCTTAACCACTTTATTCTATGTTAGTCTATGCAGAAAAAGCAAAGGATTTCTATGGTAATTACTAGAATTTACAGTTAATGTTCTGACAATATTTGTTGTCAGTGTGAAGACTGATAGTGATATGGTCACGAGGAGTGTAGCATGGATTCTCAGCAAGTTTGTTTCCAATTTAATTTGCAGTACTTTAACAATCTACTGTGGAAATCTCTGCAAACATCTGCTAAGGTTTATGGTATAATAATTCCTTGAAAACTAGCTTACAGAAATACAAAGTATTCACTCTACAATTATTTGATAAGTAATTTGAATTTCATGTTTTCTTACCTTAGATATGTGTTAATCAACAAGAGAAACTAAAGAGTCCTACTTCAATTATCCAGCACAACTGATCTTTTGTTTGCAATTTTCAATATTGTTCTATATAATCTTTATTAGATAATACACAATTAGCTGCTCACTTGATACATAGAGTAGGTGTATTTAATATAATAAACTTAATTTATTTACTTTGGTATAAACCAGTTGTTGCTGCCCTCTGGAGAATATTGTTGCTTAATTCAGATTGCTTTATTTTGAAAAAAACAAAACACTAGGAATCTCGTACAAAATATGATCATTTTATAAAGCTTTTTCAAATTTATGGCTTTTGCATGCTGCTAAAAAATGAATCTTTTTATTTTAGGCTAGATTGCATAGTTTTTCCAAATGGTTGCAAATTAAGGATATATTTTAAAATTATTTTGTGATCTTTAAGGAGATATACAAAAGAGATTTCAATTGAACATACAATTGATAAGTACAATTTATCTTGGTCAATGTTCTGCCTTTTATCATTCTCCCCCCATCTCTCCCAACCCCACCCATCATAATTCTTTCTTCAAAACATTGATTTGAATGTATATTTCCTCCACTGGGTGATGATTTAGCAGAATTCCAGATAAATGAAGCCTATACAAGAAATTTTAGAAAAACTGATAGTTTTAAATTTGTTGAAAAATTGCAATTTTGTTGAAAAAAGTGCTATTTCTTGATTGCTTCTACAATATGGCATATTTATCCTTTTACTAAATTAAGTATTCACTGTTTCCTATAAGTGTATTTACATTTATTGAAGCCATAAAAGTTATTTAAATTTAACTAATTTCTTTCTTTTCTTTTTCTCTCCCCAGAAAATGAATCCAATCTGTTAAGTTTCCTTTTCTCAATTTTCCACTTGGGTTGCTGAATACTAAAGCAATCATGGTGAACCTGAGGAACGCGGTGCACTCATTCCTGTAAGGACATTGTTACCTCTTAGTTTCATAAAAAAAATAGCTTTATTTTTGTTTGTGCATATAAAACATGCTTCTATGTGACCAGGGACATACAGCTGATAAAGTATTATGTCAAAATATAAAGTACTGAAACTTTTGGCAAATTTTAAACACATGATTGGATAAATAGCAAACCCAAAATACTTCTGATTAACTTCGAGGATAAACTAGGGGTGTAGCTCTGTAGCAAACAGTGGTCTTAGCATGTCCAAGACCCTGGGTTCAAAACCAAAAAGTAAAAAGTAATCTAATATCAGAAAGGAAATATACTTTAAAATTTACTGAAGTTCTTTTATGACACGTCTTTTTAGGACTTTACATAGGACTTTCAGTTAACTTGAACAACAGTGCTAGATCATCTCTGTAATCTTTCTGATAAAGGAACTGATACCTTAATAGATTAAGTGACAGATTTAAAAGCTCATAGAAATCATAGGGCCAGGACATTGTCCATAAGCCAAATAAACGGAAAAGTTAACCAAAGTTGAAAGCAAAATAACTTGTCTCTAATTGGTCCCTTTAATAATTTCTATTTATGCTAGTCATAAATTTTGATAGAATTTTTTAAGAGATGTAGTCTCAATACATGCTGGCATCAAGCAATTCTGCTGCCTTAGCTTCCTGGTTTGATGTCGATTTTTGAATCATGTATTATTTTTGTTTATTGTCTATATCCATATTGTTTAGAATACCAGGTAACTTTGACTAATAAAGTTATTTCCAAGTAGATATCTGAATATATTTTTTATCCATTGTACAATAATAGACAAAATATTTTTCATGTTGTCTTCATTGTCTTAGCAACATAGAAGCATATTAACATGGTATTAAGAATGACAAGGTATTTTGGGCTATCTTAGGCATTTAAAAGAAATAATTTTTAAATATGCTAGAAAATTACCATAATATTTTGACTTAGGTTTAAATCATGCCTACATCTTTTTAGAATAAGTGATCCAGCTTTGATTCAGACAGTATATGCACATGTATATGTTACATTATGGATATGACATAATTTTGATAGCTAAAATTAGCTAGTTTTACAACTCTAAATTTCTCTGATAATATTAATGACTCAGTCATTAAATCATTAACCATTGACTTACTAGTCAATCAAATGACACGTTTTCTCTTTATAAAAACAAAATTTTCATTTCAAAGAACAAGTAGATGAGATTTAAATATTTATATGGAGAAGTCATAAACACTGGATGTTAATATCATTATGTTCCAGTTCTCCAATTCTAAAAAGAATCTTCCAACTTCTTACACAGAAATTCTCTAGCTTTATCAGGTCTTAGAAATGAGAGTGAAGGAGAAAAGTTGACAGCAGAAGGCATAAAATTGTAAATATGAGAAAGCAAGAAAAGTTCCAAAAGAACTGAATATGTACTATTATCACAACCCTCTGTAACTTTTCTGGACTTTTCTGAAGTTGATCTTATAGCAATTTTTTTCAATCAAAAATGCCAAATTCTAATTTTCTTGAAAGGTCACAAAATTCTTTTATTCTTTGTCAGCTGTCTCAAAGGATATTTTGAAGAAATTAATGTTTAAAAAATAAAAAATAAACCATTGCCACAAATCAAACAATTTGAATTGAAGTGAAAGTTTAATAACCAGTCTTTGAGATCAGTTCAGTTTCAGTTAAGGTCCCCAGACTTGTGACTTTCTTGGCTGTATTGTCTTGAGAAAATTTACTAATCTCACTTAACCTGTTTTATCATATAATTATTCAGTATAGATCAGTACTAAACTCATGTGATTGTTATATGGAATCAAATAACATTATACAGATATATTTCAATAAACTAAGTGCCTAACTCATAGCAATCATTCAGGAAAAGTATTCTTTGGCAATAAGTAAATTCTGAGGTTTAATTAGGAGAGTAGAAATGATAGGAATAAGATAATCACAGTAGTTAAAGGAAAAGCAAATATATTATATAAGTAATGCAGTGTATATAGTTACTCTAATGGGTACCTAATTGCGTTTTTTTCCTTCTTCTTAATTTTCAGTGTGCACCTGATTGGCCTATTGATTTGGCAATTCGATTTTTCAGTGAGTCCAGTGGCTGCTATAGTAACTGACCTTTTCAATACCTCCGATGGTGGACGCTTTAAATTTCCAGACGGGGTACAAAACTGGCCAGCACTTTCAATCGTGGTGATAATAATCATGACAATAGGTGGCAACATCCTTGTGATCATGGCAGTAAGCATGGAAAAGAAACTGCACAATGCCACCAATTACTTCCTAATGTCCCTAGCTGTTGCTGATATGCTAGTGGGACTACTTGTCATGCCACTTTCTCTGCTTGCAATCCTTTATGGTAAGTATAGTGGAATTCATTGTCAGTTGCAGATTATACCATAAAATCATGTCAAATATCATAATCAACACTCATCATTCATTATTTTACCTATAGTAATTGCAAAATATAGAAAAAAGCAAAATGTATGACAGAAGGAATTGATGGGTATATTTGGATTTACAAAATAAAGAAGTTAGAGAGTTTTCAAAAAGCAAAGCAGACATTTTATAGCACGTTGAAATTAGACATAGATACACTGTTCCCCAGAATGGGATATTGGCAGAAACATCCCAGATCTGTATTCTGGACAGCATACATACTATTACTATTAACAACTTGTATGCTGGTACACGTTTGCTTAGTTTTACAACTAACTCTTTTAGTGTCCATCTGTATTACTGGTTGAAGAAAAATATTATTTCCAGGTTTCTATAACAGAAACTTAAAAAACTTCTTTTTTTAGAAAGCACTGACTTTACTTGAACTCACGTTAACTGACAGAAATATAAAAGGCTTGACACCCAGCCTCCCTTTTGTGCCAATCCTGGGGCTTGAGCTCAGAGCCTAGATACTGTTCCTGAGCTCAAGGCTAGTGCTTTACCATTTGAAACACTGCACCAGCTTTTTATGTTTATGTATTACTGATGAATCGAACACAGGGCTTCACGAACGCTAGACATGAACTACCACTAAGCCACATTCCCAGCCCTCTCATTATTTATTTATTTATGTCGGTAATGGGTCTTGAACTCTGGGCCTGGGCGCTGTTCCTCAGCTCCTTAGCTCAAGGCGAGTGCTCTACCACTTGAGCCACAGCGCCACTTCCCAGCCTTCTCTTTTATATACCTTTGGTCTGAGCATCCTTTTTTGGAAACCCACAAAACTGGAAAGATTTTTTTAAAAACTGTATTATTTATAAGGTAAATATTCCAAAAATATGTGCAGGAGTTATACAGCAATAACTTCAAATCACTGAAAAAATAAATTTAGGAAGACTCAAATAAATTGAGAGATAGATCCTGATAATGGATAGAAAAATTGATTTTCTTAAAATGTCAGTTGTCATAGAAATGATCTGTAGATTAAACAGTGTTGTAATAAGAATGACTGTTTACAAAACCATAATTGCTTAATAAATAAGAGCTCATTCAATCTCAATGCAGCTAACAAATCTTAGATTTGATTTTTTTATTCGGTTTAGGAGACCAGGTCACACTCATTTTCTCTATTGTAGCTTGAAATGTTTTGGGGTTTTTTGTTTTACACAGCAATGTCAATGTGCAAATATACCACAATATGGCAACTTACATGGTTTTTAAAGGACAGATTAAATTAGTGAATTTCAACTTGCCCTGAATCTTGAAAACAAATGAATAGTTTTGCCTCTGCTAAATACTATTTGAAAGCACTAAATGTGTAGCTTTTATCCTATCATTGGTCAAATTATTCCTTCCTTGAGTTTATTTCCAATTCTATCCTACCATTCTTTGTGTGTTTAAAGTGTCACGTTTAATCTATTTTGTTTCCATTATTCTTAAGAAATTACAATATTACCCAGTATCTATTTAGATAAATAAGTTATATAAAAATAGGTTACTTGACTTGGCAGCATTGTGTAGAAGCAAGTATTTATATAAGTTGCAGAGCTATAATAGTGTATAACCTTATAAAAAGTGATAATCATCATGGCTAATATTCACTTTTTCAGCTGAACTAAATAATTTAATCTGCCCATATCACTCGAACATATGATAGAACAGAGGAACAAAATAATAAGAAACTTGTGGAAGTTTGCATAATTAAGATAATGTAAAGGAAGTTTTTTTTATTTTCATTTATTTTTTAGGTAAGGTTCCACAATGCTGCCCAGGCTAGTCTCAAACTCCCAAGCTCAAGTGATCTTCCCTCCTCAGCTTCCTGAGAAGCTGGGATTAGAGGTGCATATCACTGTGACCAGCTTGAGAATGGTGATTTTAAACTAAGGCTATTTGGATTTTAGAGGCTATGTTCTGTTTCTTTTTTTCTTTTTCTCTTTTTTTTTTTTTTTTTTTTTTTGTTGGTTGTGGGGCTTGAACTCTAGGCTTGGGCGCTATCCCTCAGCTCTTCAGCTCAAGGCCAGTGCTCTACCGCTTGAGCCACAGCGCCACTTCCAGTTTTCTAGTGGTTTATTGGAGATAAGAGTCTCACGGACTTTCCTTGCTCAGGCTGGCTTTGAACCATGATCCTCAGATCTCAGCCTCCTGAGTAGCTAGGATTACAGACATGAGCTACCGGCGCCTGGCTATAGCCTATGTTCTTAAACAATAAAATAAATATAAGACATATTGCTATCCTTTTCAAAGAGACAGACTTAACTAAATACCTACAAAGAAAAATGGCACACATAGTCTAAACAATACAGAAAGATTTGTACCCATCTAATTGGGAGATAATGAACTAAGAATGTATTACATGATTGCATTAAAACAGAATGAACAGTTCAGAAACACTTCACTGAGATAGTGAGGATGGATAAATCTTGAAGTGCACAATTTCATTGAATTACATTAATGTGAAGATCTTAACAGTTGATATTTAAAATATTCACAAAATATTCATGAAAATGGAGTATCATCTATTCCATGATCACTTATTGAGCATTTACTCTATACTAAGCAAACTTTTGGATATTTTGGTTAATATACAGCCTATAATAACAGATTCCTGCCCTCGTGAAGGTTATACATTTCTTACTTATGCTATGATTTACTCAAGGTCACATGATGAGACCAGTAGAGTGAGAAGCCAGGTTGTACTCTAGAGTGTTAAAAGTGGGAGGAAAGAGGTAAGCCTATAGTTTTAAAAAATGACTTTAATGAATTGTCAGAAGGGGAGTTAGTTTTGTGAATTGGTTCAGTGTTTCAAATTGTAGCTGATGTTCTTGTATATCATTGAGGTATTTAGCTCACAGGGCATTTCAAAATGGTCATTCTTATTTTTGCAAAATGGAAAGACTTGTTTTTGCAACAATGTACTTTAATAATTACTTCAGTTTAAAAATATTCTTATTGCTATAATTGCTGTTATTGTTATCATATTCTTCCCTTGAGACAGTCATTGACTTGAAACTTCTGAGATCTGCTATGGTAAGATGGAAGATTCCCATTTAGCCTCAACTTTTATACAACACAGAACTTTACAAACAGACAATGATTGTTAAATTAAGAAGTGTCAAACTGAAACTATAAAGAATCAGACAAGCACTTATAAAAAGGTATAAAAAGAATAAAGATGAACTAGGGAATTCAGTATTTCAAGAATGATACTATAGTGACTTCTCTTAGGTTTCTCTTTTATCTCTTCTGTGTCTGCGCCAGATCTTGGAAAGGTCTGAAATTCAAGATCACCAATAGGTATACATTTTTTTTAAATGATCAAATAGGTTGTTTGCATATATGAGAACAGAATAATAAAACTTACTGAGATTCTTGTAGGAAGAAGGGGAGTATGGAGTCATAGAGGGAGGTGAGATTGATGGGAATACATTGTATTACATGTTTGCATGTAATACATGCACAATGAAATCCCTTCTGTATAATTAATGCATGCTAAAGCAACAACAACAAAACCCCAAGTAAACCAAAGTAGATTTAACAAGGACACACAACCCCAGTAACAAGCAGTATTATCTACCTAATGCAGTGGAAACAGTGAAATCTAGGTGCAAGATTGAAAGCTTTTTCCTAACATCAAATAATACAGTAAGATAGGGATAAGAAGTTGTGATATGTTATCACATAGTAGGATGCCTGTCAAGAAAAATAATGTACTGTACATTTCAAAAAGTTAGTGGAAAAGATTTAGTTTGGCTAGCACTCTATTACTTGAACCATACCTTCAGCCTGACTTACCATCCTACAGATCTCAGCCTTCTGAGTAGCTAGAATAACAGGGGTGAGCCACTGGCTCCCACCTAAGATTTTTAATGTTTTCACCCTAGAGAAGTGATCTTTTTTGAGGAGACACGTGTGTTTGATTTTAAAATTATGTACAAGTACACCACATGCACCTTCTTAATACATACTTTATATATATTTTTATTATTTATTTTTTTGTCATGAGGCTTGAACTTTGGGCCTGGGCTCTGTCCCTGATCTCATCGGCTCAAGGCAAGAGCTCTATGGCTTGAGCTACAGCTCCACTTCCGGTTTTCTGGAGGTTTATTGGAGAGAAGAGTCTCATGGACTTTCCTGTCCAGGCTGGCTTTGAACTGCAATCCTCAAATCTCAGCCTTCTGAGTAGCTAGGATTATAGGCATGAGCCACCAGAACCTTGCTTATATTTTATATATCAATTAAAATTAAGTTAATTTAAATAAAAACGTGATCGTTGTGCTGTATAAATTACATGCAAATAAAGCCTTTCAAAAACAAAACAAAACACTATCATTAAGTGATATCATACTGAAAGTACTAGCCATTGTAGTAATGCTAAAAGAAAAAGATGTAGATTGGAAAGGAAGAAGTAAAGCAAAACTGTTTCTATGGGTGTATATGATGAGAGAAAAATTCTAAAGATGATACAAAAACCTCTTAGAACTAATAAGTGGGTTCAACCTGGTCATGGGTACAAGACCACAACACAAAAGTCAGCCATATTTTCATGGTAACAATGGTTATATGGAAACAAAAATTAATATTTAATATCATGTACTGTCATTCAAAAGAAAATGCTGCAGTGTAAATGTAATTTAAAAGATATATACCTATTTTCACATTTAGCATTGTAAAATGCTAGTGAAATAAATTAAAGAACTAAATAGATGAAGAGATACACCCAGTTCAAGCATGGGAAGACTCAAAACAGTAAACATCTACTAGTTTGCTAGAATGGCCACAAATTAACTGGTTTAAAAACAAATTGATAGAAAGCCCTTGTACAACTAATTGATACTGATTCTGCCCACGAACATAATCCAGAATAATCTCTCCATCTCAAAATCCTTGACTCAATTACACATGCATGGATCCTTCTTCATT